GGTCATAGGTTTTAGTAAATCCGAGGTGACCAGCCGTGGGTGAATCATGGAGATTTTTCAGTAATTCCTGCCTTAAATGGCGTGGAACCACCAAAAGCCATGGTTTCCCCATTGGATCATAATTTTTTCTGTAGAGCGTGTTATCGATTTTTACAAAGGAATTATTAGGAGTACTTTGTAATTGGTCAGCAATTTTTCTAAGAGCTTGATCATTCATCTGCTCTTCGCTAAAGTTCTGCAAAGTCACTATGCTTGGAATATCTTCCTCCATATTTTCACTGTATTCTAATGGACTTCTTGATAAGCAGTCTGCGTCCTGATGTTTCCTTCCGCTCTTATACACGACAGTGACGTCAAACTCTTGCAGCCGAAGTGCCCATCTTGCTAACCTCCCACATGGGTCTTTGAGGTTGGTCAGCCAGCACAAAGAGTGGTGGTCTGTAACAATAGTGAACGGCTGTCCAAAGACATATGGTCGGAATTTATTGATAGCCCAAATGATGGCAAGGCATTCCCTTTCTGTGGTTGAATAATTTTTTTCTGCCTTATTTAAGGTTCTGGATGCATAAGCAATGGCTCTTTCCTTTCCCTTTTGTATCTGCACTAATACTGCTCCTATTCCGTAGTTGCTTGCGTCAGTGTGTATTTCTGTTGGGGATGAGTAATCAAAATGTCCAAGAGCGGGTTCGGAAATTAGCGCTGACTTGAGAGCTTCAAATGCATTTTGCTCTTCCTGGTTCCAATTAAATGCTGAGTCTTTCTTCAAAAGGTCATTCAAGGGTTAGGCTACGTGGGCATAATTGGGTATGAAGCGGCGGTAGTAGAATGAAAGGCCAAGAAAACTTCTAACTTCCTTCAATGACCTTGGCGTAGCGAAGTCGCGAACTACTCGAATCTTTTCTTGGTCGGGACGAATTCCATTTTCACTCACCTCATGTCCAAGAACCGTGATAGTTTTTGCACCAAACTTGCATTTCTTGGAATTGAGACATAATCTGGCTTTCTTAAGGCAATTTAATACAAGTTGAAGGCGTCTTAGATGTTCTTCAAAGCCATCTGAAAAAACGATGATGTCATCGAGGTAACACAAGCAAATAGTCCACTTAAGACCCTTCAGAAGATTATCTATCATTCGTTCGAAGGTAGCTGGAGCATTACATAACCCAAATGGTATTACTTTGAACTCGTACAGTCCATCTGGAGTTATAAATGCTGTCTTCTCACGGTCCGATTCTTCTACGTCGATTTGCCAGTACCCTGAAGTCCATGGAAGAATAAAATCTAGCTCCCCGTAAGCAGTCTAAAGTGTCGTCGATCCTTGGGAGAGGGTAGACATCCTTTTTTGTTATTTTGTTAAGGCGGCGGTAATCGACGCAGAATCTCCAGCTTCCATCCTTTTTTCTTATCAATACTACAGGTGAAGCCCACGGACTTTCAGAGGGCTGAATGATGTCAAGTTTTTCCATCTTGTTTCCCTCTCATCCTGAATAATTTGGCGTTCTCTTGGTGCAACTCGGTAAGGTCTTTGTTTGGTCGGTAGGTGGTCTCCAGTGTTAATTCGGTGTTTAGCATTGACGTCCTTGAATTGTTTTCTTTTACTAAATTCGAAAATATCCGTATAGTTTTTTTAAAACAAATTTCTTAATTTTTCTTTTTGAGATTCATCAAGTGAATCATCTATAAAAATTCCGAGATTTTTGGGTCTTCAGAATGTTCCGCCTCTGTTTCAACTTAGTTACAATCAGCTAGAGTACATAATTGACTATCTTCGGTGAGAGCACTATCGGCTACATGCATCCCCTGTGGGATTAGTTTCGGATATGGACTCCAATTCACCACCCAAAGTTTACCTCGGTTATTGGTAAGTGAAATGACAGAGGAGGGAGCCGTTAGTTCTCTTTCCAGCAATAGCTCTTTTCGACATTCTGCCACCACAATTGCGTCATTAGGGATGTCACGACATGCTACTTCTATTAACTGAATAGAGGCGGGTTCGATTCTATATTCCAATTCTGAGTAGAGAGGTGAGCTGTTCTTAGGGGTATCCTCAAAAAGACATTTTTATAAGAAGAGTGTGTCGTCAGCTGAATCAATTATCGCCCTAGATAACTTCAAAAAGTCCCAACCAAGAATAACTTCGTGACTACAGTCTTCCATAACGACAAATTCAAAGCTTTCCTGTAGCCCATTCAAGTCCAGTTTCAGTGTGCAGCGTCCTTTTGGTCTTACAATTTTACCGTTGGCTACTCGTAATGTGACGTCAGTTTCGACAAACATTATTTTTCTTAGTTTGAGTCTGAACCTCTCAGAAATGACAGAATATGAGGCTCCTGAGTCGACGAGGGCACGCGTCATTTTTCCTTCTATTTTAATGTCTATGTAATTTTCTTTTAATTCTAATGTAGTCGATAAGGGAGGGTTTATAAATTTTGCGGCCTTACCTCCAAAATAGGACGCATCTTCTAGTTTTCCTGACGGGAACGGCGAGGCGACTGGCTGGGTCTTCTATCAGGAGACGAATATTGTCCTTTTCGGCCAGTGTAAGGAGAGGGGCTTCGGTAGCGGCGTCTATTTTTCTCTTGACAGGTCGTCGTTGGGCTCTTGGCTGCTCCGAGAATTTTAGAATGTTCTAGGCTCTAGCTTATCTCTCTGTTTGTAATTCCAAGTTTGTTCTCCTTCATATTCTCTCCTCCTGTCACGGCAGTAGCGCACGACGTGGCCAGGGCGTCCGCAGTGGAAACAGATTGGCTTACCTTCCGTGGTTCGCCATTCGTTGGTATCGCGTCTTCCGTTTACTTGCTTCGGCTGCTGCGGTCTAGGTTGGAAATTTCTGGGTTGGAACTCGTACCTAGGGCTTGGTAATGGCCTTGGCGCTCTATTTTGAGGGAAACTTCTAGAAATTGGCGCAATGGGTTTTTCAATTTCTTGCTGCACCATATGTTCAATTGCAGAAATTTCTGGTTCTTCTCGAGGAGAGGCTAATGCTCGCTGTACCTCCTCGCGAACCATTTGCCTAATCATAGATGACAGATCTGCCCTGTCATCATGATCACTGAGAGACGCCACATTTGGTAGTCGCTCGTACCTGGTTGGGGTTACTCGCTTACAATGTAGCGCTTCAATGCGGCGACACTCGGTGACGAATTGTTCGGTGGTATGTGCATCTCTTGGGAGAAGTGCCTGGTAGAGCTCTTCTGCTATCCCTTTCATCAAATGGGATATTTTATCTTCCTCATTCATATGAGGGTCTACCTCTTTGCAGAGGCGCAGGACGTCTTGAATATAAAATTTGGTGCTTTCACCTTTTAATTGTGCACGAGCTTTTAAGGTTTTCTCTGCTCGTAATCTCAAGTTTTCGTTTTTTCCGAAAACTGATTTTAACTGGGACATGAACTCCTTCCATGTCAGGATGCTCTCCTCATTGTTCTCAAACCATTTGAGAGCAGTGCAGGTCAAATAAAAGTAAACGTTGGCGAGACAAAGTGTTTCATCCCATTGGTTATGCTTCGCCACACGTTCGTACTTTTTCAACCAGTTATGGGGATCTTCAGAACCCTCACCAGAGAACATTGAGGGGCTTCTAGGTAAATGTTGTATAAAAAATGAACCTACCTGATTTGTTGCTTCTTTCTTGATGTTCATGGTGGTTTCTTCTTGCTCAACTGAATCAATTTTACGTTTTTTTTTTCTGAATGGGTATCGATCCAGCTTCTTCACCAGTTGTAGCGTAGAAATCAAGCCTTGAAATATCCTAAGATATAAAAGTATTTATTGATGACGTCACAGCGACGAGTCGACAATTATTAACAAGTCAGAAAAATATTTACAGCTAGAGAATCTTAAGCAAGCAAGCAAATAAATATTTAAAAGATGATTTCACAAATACAGAGTAATATATATTTTTATAATCTGTTGAATATATTTTCATTGAATAATATTAAATTAAATAATAAAATATTTCTTCGCCACAATATTTATTTAATAGCTCAAAGGTATATTTACATTTTATCCTCCTTTATGTTAGCTGAACACTTTCTTATTTTATATTTAAAAGAAAATTGAGTTCTAATTAAAATCTAAATATATCTAAATATTTCCACTTTAATATTAATTATAAAACCTCTAATTTAAAAAAGTGTTTTTGATTTTTTAATTTTCATGTAACGAGATAGGATTGCTGTAAAGAAAATTAATTAAAAGCCATATGTATCGATGAATAACGAATTTTGTTAGCTTCGAGAAGGTGCTTTAACCGTTTTTTTCTGACCTTAAAATCCGTCAAGATTAGCTTCGATATCGCTTAGATAGTGCGAGGATGAATACCATGATATAAATATACAGTTGTTGTGTCCAATGAAGAGCCTCAGATGTATCAATACATCTCTAGTGCAGCAGTCGCAATGTCCTCTATCTTGAGTGGGTAAAGCTGCTATTCTGGGTCTATGTCAATTTTATGCAAGGCTGCGGTCATTGGTGAACATGATAATATGTGAGTAGGTGTTAGTTCCACACCAGGACAGTTGTTGCATGTCTTGTAGGTTCTTGTGCCTTCTGGATGTATTGTGTCATTCCTTTTTTTAGTGTTTGATTCTGAGTCATACAGTAAAACTCCATTATAGCAAACCGCAATGGGAGTGAACCTGTGGTTCACTATAGAAATGGTTCGTTATAGCTATAGTTCTCTGTATTATAAAATGAAAATCCCAAAAAATTATGAAATCCCAATTTAGGCAAGTTTACAGAGTAGAAAATATAAATAACAAAATTTCGGTAATATGTTAACAGAATAATAAACATTTTGCTGCAATATGATGTACCAAAAGAACCATATTTACATTTAAATATGCCTTAGAAACAATTAATTATTTAAAATTATACCGCATAAGTTTCTTCTCTATGAAAAATCAATATTTATTTTAAAGAGAAATATTTACTACTTCTAACTTTTTTGAATGAAGTATGAGAGGGTGAAAATATGAAGAGTAATGGCGAACGGTAAAAATAAAAGTGTCCAGGGGCGGGAATCGAACCCACAACCTTCTGCTTACCGGGCAGGTGCCTTGTCCACTAGCCGCAGTCCTTTATAATGTATTACAATTAATTATGTTTATTACTCCGGTAAAATAAAGATGTGGATAAAGACTGAGCTACACAACACCATGTGTTGGGAAATTCAGACAAAAGCCAACTTGTTAACCATGGTTTCAGGCTATGGAAGCGGCCCTGTACTGACGATCGCCATTGCCCGAAACCTTGGTATACGTGCGACTTTTGTCTGAATTTACCAAAAATTGGTGTTGTGGCTCAATATTTATCCACACCTTTAAGGGTTTTGGGTGATAACTTTTGCTTCATTATTTTATTGCATATATAAAGGGAGAAGTACCTCTTTTGATTCATGAATACCATCTTCCAGCAAGTTTATGTTATACAAGTATGTGTTTTGAAAATAGAGCAATCCATAAATATATCTTTAATTAAAAAGGCATATATTGGATCAAAATATCATTTATTTTACCAATATTTCAGTTGGCTGAACGTCAACCTTTATCAAGGTATTATCTCTGTAAAGTCAACCGCCAGTTGTCGCGGCTTCCTCTGTGCCCATTGTTGTTGCTTCCAGTTGACCGGCTCAAATCTTTTGTAGATATTTAAACACGTCTTTTGTTTTCTTTATTCTACTTGCCTTAAGTCAGGCATTTATTTATTATTTTCATCAGTTCAAAGGAAGCAAATTGTGATTCAAAGTGGATTTTATTATATTTACAAGACTTTCCACGACTGCATACCAATACCATTTAGTACTCATGTACTCAAAAGAACCAGCAAATAACCTCTATGACATCTCAGAAAATTCATCATAATATATATATGTCATATAAAAAATGCAGATATAGAAAATGTAATCTATAAAGATGTTTAAACAATCTGTGAGAAGGTATAGAGATAAAATGAATAAGTTAGCTGGTAATATTAGGTCTAGTCAACCACGTTGTTGTGTCTTCTTACATAATGGTCGTTCCTGAGATATCAGGGTTCACTGTCCCGTCCCGCACTGGGAAGGGTATAAAATCTCGTGGATTTGATGATCTTGGGACAGATCTCGCTGTCTTTACACAGGTTGTGCCTTTAGTGGACCTCGAAATTTCCTCTCTGGCCTACTTCTCACGGGTTCTTGCTCCTTCCTCCTGTGTGGGTCCTTCCACCTTGACTACTCGCCGAACACCACATATATACAAGTATATACTTGTATATGCCCTCTTCCGTTTGTCTGAAGTGTGGCGGCTATTCGACATCTGATTGACTCGTCACTGTCACGTTACCAAATAAATAATAATGTGGTATTCTGTCTCTTTGAACCTAGGTTAACTATATATATAAATGTTCTGTCCTGTCTTTTTGTCTGAAATATGGCTCGATTTCGCCATCTGATTGGCTCCCTTTTGACACGTGACTTCACTCAGCCAATTATCCTGCAGTGTTTCGTTAGCTCTCTCTCTCAAACGTCCTTTACTATAAAAATTATATATTAAATATAAGATTAAGAGTCGATTCTAGAAAGTTCACAATCAATAAGATTTTTTTTGACGAAATAAAATAATTTAAAACATTTTTAGTTATTCTATATGTACACTTTTGAAAAAAATGTATTCCAGAGCAATAATTATGAATTTTTTCGATATCAGGGGCGTGTTTATTATTTGTATTAAAGGTTCGGACAATTGCTTTTCTTACTCTTTAATAGGTCGATTTTTTTAGATCGCATCATTTTTAGGCTTAATTCTTCTTGATATACCCTGTCTCTATCTCTCGAATTTAAAACGGGCAAATGGCCTATAAACAATATAGTAGATTGAAAGGTCATTTTATAGTTTTGGTTATAATATTATTCTCTCTTTTTAAAGGTAAAACTCTTTAATTACGGATTAAGATTAGCTGTTGTTCAGTTCAATAACATTACCCCTTATAAAAGACTAAAATTGAATAGCCATTATAATAGCGCTAGTCGAATAACCCGGGCAACGCCCGGGTTTTACCCGATTAAATGCTTTTATTCAAATACTATTCGTTACAATTATAAATTGGCGCCGTGGATGTCATTCTTGTGAAACGTCCCGCTCCAAACTTTGTGTCTGAGAAGCGATATTTTTATAAAGAGATAATCTGGCTTTGTGTCTTCTGCTCGAATGAATGTTTTTATGTTAGAATTTTGTTCCTGCATACTAAAAATGAACTGGCTTCACCCGGGGTCTCTGAATTTTGGATTTTTTTCCGGATATAATTTTGTATCTGATAATCAAATATGATACAGCAATATTGTCATAATCATTTTCTGACTAAAAAAAAAAAAACAACTTTTTTTGCCCAGAACCTGTCAATTTCAATTTTTCTTGGCTAAAAATGCGGCAAATATATCTTCCATATTTTTTTCTATGTCCTGTTGAAACACGTTTTACATGTACATTAGGTCAGCTGATATTACCTCCCATCTTCACCGCTAGAGGCGCTGCTCGCGAGCGAAAGAGCAAATTTGCAACTCAAATTTGCAAATACCTCGAAGAATATTCAGGATAGAGACCTGAAATATTCAATATAAGTTTTTCCAGATTCTACTATACATACTGCTAAAATTTCAGTCATATTAGTTACGTATATTACGTAAAGGCATTCCATTCACAAAAGCAAACGATGACAGAATTGATTGATGACTCTGATAAATATAATATTAGATAATCTATATTAATAAAATGCAAATTTCATAAGTGGACATCACTAAAAACTTTCGTTACAATGCATCAATTTCAACCAAATTTTCAACATTTATGTAAAACGAGATGGAGCAGGTTTTGCTTAACATCAAAATATTTTTCCCTAACATTAACATGCGTAACTTCGCTGTTATCGATTAAATACAAAAAAAATCAACAGAGTTAATTTTATTTATATATAAATACAAAATTAAATTTCAACAGAGTTAATTTTTTTACATACTAGCTAATAATCTCAATCTGAAAAATATTCAAAACAAGCAATTTTAAGATAACACCATATGTAAAACAGTCGGCCAAGAAAACAAATAACGTGTAATATATATATATAATATAATATATATAATATAACGGTATAATAACGGTATAAAGAAATAATGAGCCTATCGTTCAAATTTATAATTGTAACGAATAGTATTTTAATTAAAACATTTTAAAAACACACAGTTTGGAACGGGACGTTTCACAAGAGTGACATCCATGGCGCCAATTTATAATTGTAACGAATAGTATTTGAATTAAAACGTTTTTAAAATATATACGCACTCGGGTAAAACCCGGGCGTTTATAGAGAATTGTTTTAACAAATGTTCGTTCGACAAACCTTTACTCGGGTAAAACCCCGGGCGAAGCCGGGTACGTCCGCTAGTAATCTATATATATATATGAAATTGAATGTCTGTCTGTGTGTACTCTATAGATTCAAAAACTATACATCCAATCGCCGTGAAATTTCAGGATATTATTAGGTATATCCCCGGGAAGGTTTTTGAAAAATAATTTCTTGAATATCTTGAATATCCTTAGAGTTATTTGCAGATTTGTAGATTTAACTCGCAAAGCAGCGCCACCATTGCGACGATGATAACAAGTTTTTTCTATCTATAAAATTTATTATCACTAAGTTTATTACCTTAAAGATTATATATCAAAAGTAAGATTATCTCAGGATGACACGGCAATTTATTTGCGACAAGAATAATTATACAATTCCAAGGCGAAGATACTATTCCTTTAACTTCCAATTACCGAGGGAACCAATTAATATGGATTTTATTCAACTTATCGAGTATTTTTCAAGGGACCGGGAAAAATGTTCACTAGATAAAACGATGATTTTGTAATGTAGAAAATTAGGAAAGACAAAATTCAGGATGACACGGCCCACAGGGACCGGGAAAAATGTTCAATTTATCGAGAGATTCAAATTTACGAGTTTCAAATTATCAAAATATATCTTTTTTTTTTAAATAAGTTTATAGAGAATTGTTTTAACAAATGTTCGTTAGACAAACCTTTACTCGGGTAAAACCCCGGGCGAAGCCGGGAACATCCGCTAGTAATAATATAAATGAGTTTTAAAAATTGTAAAAAAAAAAAAAAAAATGCATTGGCCGGGAATCGAACCCGGGCCGCCCGCGTGGAAGGCGAGCATTCTACCACTGAACCACCGATGCTTATAAGAAATGGCCATATTTGGGTATTTATTCCATTTACAAAAGCAAACGATGACAGAATTGATTGTTGGCGACTCTGATACTTGTATATTTTATAATATAGTACTGTCATTATTGAAAATCATATACGTTTTAAAATAAAACTGAATATTTTATTTTAGGTACAATGAGCGGATACGGATACATGATGAGAATATTTATATGCTTCATAATCCTAGTTTTTTTTTTCTATTAAAATAATAATAATATATTTTTAAAAAAGTATTAAAAAATTTAATAAAAATTAAAAATTTCAAGATGATATATAGATTTTTAAAAGTATATATAACAATAGAATGAACGTCAACTCCATAGCAACTGTGCATTGATACATATAGATTCAACGTAAAGAAAGGTGGTTTAACTCGATGACTCAAAAATAGAAAAATAATTATAAAGCATTTTTCTATTGTTTCTATCTATAGAGCATATTCCTGAAGTTTATCAGTGTATTTTGGATTCACTCTGAGCATATATTTGGAAATGAGAGAGAGAGAGAGAGAGAGAGAGAGAGAGAGAGAGAGAGAGAAATCCAATAATGGAATACCTATCAACAAATATATAATGATATACAAGATGAACCCATATTTACAAGACCAAAGAACAAGCGTCTAGTGCAAGCCTTAAAAAACAAAACAAAAAGGACCGCGCTGTATATACATCCAATATTCAATTTTTAACAAAAGCGGCAATTTCAATACTTTTTTTTTTTGTGTGAAACTCAGATTTCCATTTGCAACATTTTTGTTTACAAAAGGAATTCCCGAGTGGAAGAATCCATCGAGGAACAATGGGCAGGAATTTGGCTGTCTGTGTGTCC